GAGGGCTGCACACATGTGTGGCATCAGGGCATCAACGAGGAAGGAAGCCACGAGGAACAGCTGAAGTGTTGAGTGGGGGCTGGCCACACAAGACCTCGTTGGCCACAGCAAGAAGCTTGGACTTCATCCAAAGATGTAGGATCTTGTAGAAAAGGTTCCCTTGTGTCCTGGATTCTTTGTTGACCTTGAGGGGCCAGGGCCAAAATATTGACTGTTCTCATAGCCCAGTTACTTTTCTAGTTTTGGTCTCCAAACTCTGACCAGTAGTCTTGGTGGAAGACCTCCAAAATGATATAGGGAGAAAAGATGTAACTCCCAAACCTACTAGATATCCGAAACATGAGTTTGTGTTCTCCAATATCGAAGAATGAATTCTAGGATCAACGGAAGTTAAGAGTAGGAAAAATCTATTGAGAGAAAGAAAGCTTCTGCCTAAGAGAGACAGAAGGAGGACCAGAAAGTGGGTTGCCCCCTTGTTCCTGATTTTAGTGTGAAGGATTTCAGTTTTTGACCATTTAGTATGACATTGGCTGTTGGTGTTTTTTTTTTTGGTACCGGGGATCGAACTCGGGTCCTTGGGCATGCGCAGCAGGTGGAGGAACCACTGAGCTAAATCCCAGGCCCTTGTTGGTTTTTCATAGATGGCTTTTATCAGATTGAGGTAGAGACCGTCTATTCCGATTTTTTGTAGGGTTTTTATCATAAATGCGTGTTGGATTTTATCCAGCGCTTTTTCTGCATCTATTGAGATGATCATATGGCTTTTGTCCCTGGCTCTATTGATATAGTGTATTACATTGATTGATTTGCATATGTTAAACTGTCCCTGCATCCCTGGGATGAGTCCAGGATGGTTCTTATATTGTATTGTTATTTCTTTTCATTGCTGGGGATCCAGCCCAAGGCTTCGCACAGACTGGGCAAGTGCTTGACCACGGGCCTGGATCCCCAGCCGGATTTTTACATGCGGAGTGGTTGCAGGGTCGCAAGCATGAGATTTCCTGAAAAGGAACACTGCATGGATTTGCATGTGGGCTGTCCTGATGTCGCCCTCTTCATCTGGCAGCCTCACCTTTCAGGCTTCACTCCCAGCTTCTCGGCCCAACTTCTCTCATTAATCTTGTCTTTGAAATCCAGATTCAGGTGTTTCTTTGCACCCTGTCTTTGAGTTGCACATGTAACCAGCAGTACAAAATAGAATTTAAGGCTGGGTGTGAGTGCACACCTATAATCCCACCACTTGGGAGGCTGAGGCAGGAGGATTGCCATGAGTTTGGGGCCAGCCTGGGCTATGTGGTGCGACCCCGTCTCAAAAAAGAAAGTTGAAAATTAGAACTTTTTTTTTTTTTTTTAAGAGCTAGTGGCTTCTCCAGACTTGCTGCATCCTGGAGCATAAAGTGCTATCCCATTCTCTCCACAGTCAGATGAGCAAACAGACATGCAGGTACTGGCCCCAGGAGGTGGGTGTCCATTCTGCTTCTGCAGAGGAGGCAGGGAGAGGGAGGTGGCCGGGAGGAGGGATGAAGCAGGCCTGGTGTTGCCTACTGTCTCCTTGGGATTTTCTTTGCTTATTTCTTTCTGGTTTTTTGACACAGGGTCCTGCTGTGTAGTCCAGGCTGGCCTTGAACTCACTGTAGCCCAGACAGTGATCCTCCTGCCTTAGCCTCCCGAGTGCTGGGTTTACATGAGTGCACCACCATGACTGGCTCCCTTCTTATGTTGTTTGATGGTCTCAGTAAGTTCCCCAGGCTGGGCCTGAACTGCGCAGTCTCCTGGGTAGCCGGGATTACAGGTGTGCACCACTAGGCCTGGTGAGACTTTCTCTCTTAACACGTGTGGGTGCTTCACGAGATCCCCAGTGGCGTGAGCAAGATGTGTTTTCCCAGACCCAAGCCTTCCCACTCTGCAGGATCGCTGGAGCCGGGTCAGCACCTGGGGTTCTTCCAGCCTGAGTTCAGAAGTGCACTGTTCTTGAACCGCGCCTCACTGACCTGGCCTTCCAGGAGTGTATCTCAGGTGGTGAGCAGGGCTAGAGTGACTTACTTCCCTGAATCTTTAGTCAGTGCTCAGGCTTCTTGGTTTGAGTCCATGCACAATAGTTTAGGTAGATGAAGCCAGGCGTGGTGGTGCACGCCTGTAATTCCAGCACTCGGGAAGCTGAGGTAGGAGGATGGAAGCAAGTTTGAGGCCAGCCTGGGCTACACAGGAAGTTCAAGGCCAGCCTGAATTACATAGTGAGCACCTGTCTCAAAAAACCAAGAAAAAAGAAGAGTGTAGGCACAATGGGAAGTCAGTGTTTCACATTCCAGAGAAGCCCAGAAGTTTCAGCATTGGCAAGTTCCAGCATGATCCTGCTTGCCTTTTTCTCAAGTAGGGTAGTGATGGGGCTGATGCTGCCTCCCTTACGTCCCTGCCGGGAACCAGGGCTTCCCAGGAACTGAAAGCAGGGAGGGTGCAGAGGCTGGGAAAGCAGAGTGTTCAGGAGGAGTCGGCCACCCAGGCTCAGATCCTGGCCTGATGACTTAGGAGTTTCGTGACTGTAAGTGAATTCTCCAACCTCACAAGACCTTGATTTCCTCATGTTTCCTGCGGTGTTTGGTAATTACTACGTGGGGCTACATATATTAAATAAGACAAGGCATGCGAAGGAGTAAGCATGGTGCCTGGGTGAACTTGGGGTGTGGCAAGCCCCAAATGAATAGTACCTCCGGAGTGCTTGTCCTCAGGAGAGGTTTAAAGGAAGTATTCTCCTTTTCAGCAGATGTGGTGGTGCACGTGTATAATCCCAGCCCTCTGGGGGGCTGAGGCAGGAGGATAGGCAGTTCAAGCCCAGTGTTCTGGCTGTGTCTAGATGTCCCCCAAAACCTCACCCAGTCATAGGTGGGGCTTTTTCAGAGGCAGCTGGATCTAGAGTGTGTGATGCTGGGATTGATGCAGTGCTAGGTAAGGATGTGAGTGCTACGTGCCTTAAGTAGCCCTGTTAAGATGTAAGGGACAGAAAGAGCTGTGGTGGTCCTCTTCTGCTTGCTTTTTTTTTGGTACCGGGGATCAAACTCGGGACCTTGTACTTGCGAGGCAGGCGCCGGAATCACTGAGCTAAATCCTCGGTCTTTTCTGCTTGCTTTTGCTGTCTTCTGCCTATAATGAACTGTTTCTCCTCTCCCATACCACCCTGCCTTGGAGCCAGCCAACTGTGGACTGAAATCTCTACGAATTGTGAGCCAAATAAATCTTTCCTCCTTTAACTTTGGGTGTTAGGTGTTTTGTCTCAGCAATGAGAAAAGTAACTAAGACACCCAGTCTGAGCAATTTAGTGACTTGTTGAGATCCTATCTCAAAATAAAAGGGGCTGGGATGTAGCTCCATGAGGCCCTAGGTTCAATCCCTAGTCCTGAGGAAAAATCCTTTCAAATAGTGACCTATGGCGTTTTGCATGCTAGACAAGCATAGACATGCTAGATAGTGTAGCTCTACACTGAGCATACAAAAGCCATCAGTTCGGTCCCCAGCACCTCAAAAACAAAGCAAATAGTCAAGGAACTTGGTAACTCCTCCTTGTTGGGAAGCTGACATTTACTTACTTGCAGTGCTGGGGTTGAATCAGCAGCGCTCACAGGCAGTGAAGTCTCAGAGAGCATCCAGATGGTTTCCCTTGCTTCCATTTGAAAGTTTGCCACTTGGTTCTGTGCCCCAGATGCACACATTTCTGCTCTGTAAAGCAAAAGCAGAGTTGTCTTGGAATGTTGCTAACATTAGTTACAGTGTTGATTTACAACTTGCTGGGTTGTTCATAGAAGCTCTTAATATTGTCACCAGATGGTTTTGCACGTATTTTGTTTAGAAGTAAAAAGAATAAAAATATATCTGGAAGACCAGGGAGAAGGAAGTGTGACAGCCGGTCAAAGAAGAAAAGACCATTTGGGTTACAACTTTAACGTTTTAGGTTGAGCAAGAAAAGTATTAAATCCATTTAAAGTCAGATCATTTTTCATTTTGGATAATCAGACTACTAAAAGCTTTTCTGGACAGTAAGAGTCTACTCTTGGGATTTAGCAGGTAGCCAGCTTGCCATTTTTATTGGAACTGAAGTAGAGATTCATGAAATCTTATTACAAAGGAAGTGCATGTCATGTTGTCTTTACAATGTGTAAAATAGGAGTAATGCCTGGCCCAAAATATCTTTCTAATTGCTAAAGATAGTTTGAAGGTATTTTTCCCCTTCATTTAAGAAAATTAGGATATAACGTCACATACCATGAAATTCACCCTTTTAAAACACACAATTTGAAACAAAAAACAACAACCAAAAAACATACAATTTGACCTGGTGTGGTGGCGCATGCCTGTAATCCCACCACTCATGAGGCTGAGGCAAGAGGATCACAGTGAGTTGGAGGCCAGGCTGGACTACATAGTGAATCCAAGGCCAGCCTGAACTACACAGTGAGACTCCTGTCTTAGATCCCACGTAGAGGAGTCCCTCAGTCCCCTCCACTTCCAGCACGGTTCTGAGAGTCACTGGTTCAGACTTACAGTTCCCACTGAGTCCCTAGATCCAGTTCTGGTCTTTCAGCACATCCGCTATATTCATTTGCACAGTGACCTGCGCCTTTCTAGGGAGTCACAGGTGGGCAAAGCATGTGTCTTTGTCACATACATTCAGTTTGGGCTGGACCCAGAATGATGACCCTCTCTGCTGGGTCTGAATGTTTACATTAGACTAGGGGTATAATAACCAAATTCATAGGCATTAAATATTTCCACATGTCTGTTAAAACCTGATGTATTTTAACATTGTAAAATCACTGTTAGAGGTGTGGCTTTATTCCTGGAAGTTGGGCTGTGCCTACGGAAGCGTGCATCTGGTTCCGCGCCTGCGCACCTCCTCGGGTTGGGCTCAAGGCGGCCAGGCAGGCTTGGGGACTGGGCGACCAGAGGAGTCCCAGAGACGGCTGCGCTTACATGCCACTGCGCTGACGCCTCCTTTTTCTCCCCCACAGATCCAACTGTGGGACACAGCGGGCCAGGAGCGCTTCCGGAAGAGCATGGTGCAGCACTACTACCGAAACGTGCACGCCGTGGTCTTCGTGTATGATGTGACCAACATGGCCAGCTTCCACAGCCTGCCGGCCTGGATTGAGGAGTGCAAGCAGCACTTGCTGGCCAGCGACATCCCGCGCATCCTCGTGGGGAATAAGTGTGACTTGTGGAGCGCCGTCCAGGTGCCCACGGACCTGGCCCAGAAGTTTGCCGACACACACAGCATGCCTTTGTTTGAGACCTCTGCCAAGAATCCCCATGACAATGACCACGTGGAGGCTATCTTCATGACCTTGGCGCACAAGCTCAAGAGCCACAAGCCACTCATGCTCAGCCAGCCCCCCGAGGACGGAGTGGCCCTGAAGCCCGAGGCCAGGCCCGCCCTGCAGTGCTGGTGCTGAGTGGCCCTCGACTCGGGGCTATGATCTGAGGCGACCTGGGACGGTGCTGAGCGGAAGGGGACCCACACTGCACCGCACAGCGTCCAGTCAGTGCCTCCCTAGTCGGGGCTGCCACTCTGACTCACAGGGAGAGGTGCTTCTCGTTGGGCATGGAGAGCAGGAGAGCACCATGCGCCCACTGTGCCTGCCAGTGGGCGGGCTGGAGGGAGGCCAGAGACTCACCAGGTGCTGTCTCCAGGAAGCTTGTGCTGTCTCCAGGGTGCAGAGCTGGTCGAGAGCATCGGGAGTGTAACTGAGAGGGACTGGTCAGCGTGGGTCCTGGTCTCTTTCTCTCATTTAGTGACTGTGTTGGATTAAATCAGCTTCCGTTTGGATGTAGCTCTGCGGGCTTCACTCTGATTCCTGTGAATCTGTGTGTTTTTCTGTAATGGTGTTGTCTTGTCAGTTTCTGTATGGTCACAGCAGAATAGGCCTCCTGGGTATGATGAATATATTAAGCCAGGCGTGTGATGGGGAGGCTGAGGATTGCCTCGAGTGGAAGGCCACCCTGAACTACCTAGTGAGACCCTGTCTCAGAAAAACCAAAAAAAATTGTCTGTCCCTCAGTAGTGAAAAGAATATTTCAACATTTTTGCCCTACTTTTATTTTGAATTTAAGGCTTTGCACAAAGTGATGCGCTGCATATGAAGCTATTTACATAAATGGAATGTAAGCCATGGACTTTAGGTGACACGTGTGCATTCACTGATTGGATCTTGGCTGTCCTTGATAGTTGTAGAGGAAGTTAAGCCAGAAGATGACTGTACTTAAACTATTTTCAGAATGTGGAAAACCAATTAACATGTAATTGAATCTAGTTTAGGAGTTTAATCATTGTGGTAGTCCTAAATGGATAATTTAAGTTATAAAAAAACCCCACTCAATTAAACTAATTGAAAGTAATAATTACAATAAATAATTATTCAGTTTTAAGTATTAGAGATCAAATTAGCTTTATTTGCATTTTGGGAGATTAATCCATTTTTTTCATTTCTCTTAAATATGCTGGGATTAAAGATTTTTACCCTGGGGGCCGGGGATTTAGCTCAGTGGTTTCGCCGCCTGCTGCGCAAGCACAAGGACCCGAGTTCGATCTCCGGTACCAAAAAAAAAATTTTTTTTACCCTGGGCCGGGGATTTAGCTCAGCAGCATCTTGCCTCCCTCAAAGATGCAAGGTCCTGACTTTGATCCCTGGTGCCCCCCCCAGTTTAAAAAAATCTGAATTAACATTGATTTTTTTTTTTTTTTTTTGGTACCGGGGATCAAACTCAGGTCCTTGCACTTGCGCAGCAGACGCGGAAACCACTGAGCTAAATCCCCGGCTAATACTGATTTCTAACTATTTTTATACCAAAGCAGTGACAGCTGTGGTAATTGTGATGGGTGTGATAA